CTCCCCTCCCTCTTCCCTCAACCAAATCCTCTCGGCTGCGAACTGCGAACCGCTTTCGCTAGCAAAGGCATATTATTATTACTTATCTCCTCCTCCTTGCTTTGCGTTCCCGGTACAGTTATGCTTTATACTAGTGGGTGGTTGGCGGGTGCTCTGGTGTGGTTTGCTCCTTCTTTCCTATCAAACATCTATCGTCCTTGTCTCCCCTTCTTCTTTTTTTATGTATGTTACTCACCTGTAACACTTCTAATCTTCTGCTGGTGCTCATATGACCTTATGCAGTTGCGAGCGCCGTAAAACCTCTACTAAAACGAAAACTAAACAGTTATACTATTTATGTATGTGCCCCTCCCCCCACCGCTCCCCTCTCCCCACCACACATACACACACCTTTCCTATCCACATAACAGAAGCCGTTTTCTACCCCCTTAAAATACGTTCCTCCCTCCCAATGCCCCCCCTCTCATTTAAATCACTCCAGTCTCTCTCTCTCTCTCTCTCTCTCTCTCTCTCTCTCTCTCTCTCTCTCTCTCTCTCTCTCTCTCTCTCTCTGAGCGCTGCTCTCTCAACCTGAAAAGATCTTGAGACATAATAATTTCTCTTTGCTCTAACAAACACAAAGAAAGTTGGCTTAGAAGAACAAATTATGTAAGACTCAAAGAACATGAAATGCCCAATTCCAATGTTTACATTGCCCTGAAGTGCCCTGGCCAACTCTCCGAGAAATTTGAATTTCATGGCGAGATAAGAAATGATAGTGGAAACGAAAAAGAATACGACGGTCTAGTTTAGGGAACTTGCATTCAACAACTACAAAATACTCTTTTTAGTTAATAATAATTATGCGACACTGCAGTTACCTAATGGTCAACTATCTTGTCCTTCTTTAAATCTGACAACTATTTTTTACGCTCCCATTGACACAATTCTGATAATTTAGGAGGTGGGCTTTGACTCCTGATGAGAGAGATAAAGTTTTTCAACAGAAAGATCGAGATTCTTGTGACTCCTGATGAGAGAGATAATATTTTTCAACAGAAAGATAGAGATTCTTGTGACTCCTGACGAGAGAGATAAAATTTTTCAACAGAAAGATAGAGATTCTTGTGACTCCTGATGAGAGAGATAACATTTTTCAACAGAAAGATCGAGATTTTTGTTGAAAATTACCTCCCTCACGGGAATCAGATTCGGGCCTTCTGCGAGCGACGGCGATGTGTCTAACCGTTGTAACACAGACAAGGGGAATCTGACAGCTAATGACTGGGAGAGTGTGAAATCAAATGTATTAGTAGTATGGGCGTGTGGCACTTAATACCTTTGTGTTATCCTCTGTTTGATCGAGAGAGAAAGGGGAGGGAGAGTGAGGGGTCCGTGTTTCTTTTCTCAACATCTAAATCACCATCATAATCATCATCCGAAGCCTTGCCGACTGCCGTGGGTGATCATGGACCTCCACACTATTAAAGACTAGTTTTTGACTCCACTAAGTACTATTATCGTGCCGATGTGTTTCTTTTTATCCAAACTAAACTCAAATTACAATACATTGTTTCTTCAAAAACGGAAAACTCTGATACTATTCAGCTGTTGTGGGGTTTTGTTTTCTTAATTGCTTCCGCAAAATATCCCAAAAGGTTTCTTTATCACCTAATTCTTGAAAAATATCCTTAAAGTAAAAAAGAATATATAACGCTGAACTGTGGGCTCCTATTTTTTAAAATTCGTAATGGCGTTTTCTGTAGGTAAGAAAAATGGGTTTTATTTTGATGTTTAAATTGTTATTACTTCTGTTTTCGCTGCTGTTGTATTACGTGCAATTGGTGTTATTGTTATTGCTGTTTTGTTTTGTGTTGCTGGTGGTATTTTAGATTTGTTCCCCTCAATTAGTCGGACAATATTGACGGATCAGATTTTTCCCCCCCTTAATTCTTTTCTAGACTTTTTTTCGGAACTCCTATTGGTTAAGAGGTCAGTGAACACGTGTGAACGCAGGAAAACCAAGCAGTGTCAGCTGGACAACTTTGAGATAGGTGGTCACTAGAGGTCACAGGAGAGTTTCCCTGAGCATGGCGCAATCAAGTTCTGCTGCTGGTACCAGATCTGAGACAGACATCAGCGATCATTGCTCGAGACTAATTTCTTGGCTGGGGAACTCTTAAAAAGACATTATTTTGCGGGTTTTCCCCACGTCAGACAAGATATCTTGCTCAGTAAAGTCATCCCAGTAAGCTTATATCTAATTGTTTTGCCATCTCTGTCTCTTTTGCCTTCTGTTCCTTTTTATCCTTCTTTTGAAATGGAAGCAATATGTTTAAAGCTTTTATGTTACATCAAGTATCCCACAGACCTTCATTTTCGTCTTCTCTTTTCTTTGCATTTGTAAAAGATTGTTCAACGCTTTTTTCTTCCAGCACCGTCTCAGCTGATTTCTTTTCATTCCATGAAACCCTATCTGTCTAATAAGAAAGCAGCTAATATCATAGTAAGAATGTAATAATATTTTGCTGTTTTGTTTTGTGTTTTATTTCTGTATTTGTTTGATCATGAACAACACAATGACGGCGATTTTTAACCCCACTCTCGGACAACATATCGTGATATGGATTTAAATTTCTGAAGTAAGAACATGTTGGTGATCAGATAACCCGTACGTTCTCTTTCTCTCTCTCTCTATCTCTCTCTCTCTCTCTCTCTCTCTCTCTCT